GAGAATCAGCACTGGAAGGAATGGGAGATTGTACTTCAGTCTCAACACTCGGTGCTGGTGGAGATGATACACTAGGGTCGGACGGAACAGTCAACGAATCAGGAATACGCTTCTGCATTTGATCCACATGACGTTTAACTACCTCGCCTCCTGTAGTCACAGCTTTTTTAGGAAACTGGACCTGTGGGTTTAATGACCGTTGCTGAAAACCACTTTGGACCCTTCCATAGTTTCTCACAAAGACTGGATCGTCGACACTGAACGATCTTAGAAGAGAACTGCCATTTTTTCTCCTGAGTTGAGGCTCCTGCCTCAACTTCCTCTCAGCCGTCAGATCTGGATGGAGTCTATCTAAGACGGTCCTTAGCTTCCTCCCCATCAACAGTTCCGCAGGACTAGCACTTGTTGTAGTGGTGGGAGTACAATGTTGTTGAAGAAGGAATTTGGCATGCCTCTTCCTCCAATTTCCCTTCACAATGCGTCTTAGGGCATCTTTGACAGTCTGGACTGTTCTTTCAGCCTGGCCATTTCCGGACGGACGTCTTGGTGCGATCATGACTCCTCGGACGAGATTTCACTCTAAGAAAATCTGGTACTCCGATGCTCGAAACTGACCTCCGTTATCGGAAACGATGACTTCAGGTATCCCATGGGTAGCAAAGATTTCTCGCAGGACGTCGACTGTTGCAGAAGCAGACGTAGAAGTCATATGACGCACTTTTATCCACTTTGACATGGCATCTACTATGATGAGGAATCCTTGTCCCTGGAACGGACCTGCAAAATCTATATGAAGACGGAACCAAGGTTTCTCTGGAATATCCCATGGATGCACTGGAGCTTTAGGAGGGGCATGGCGTGTCTGTTGACATTCCTTGCATCTTTGAACATGCACTTCTATGTCATGGTCCATGCCTGACCATCACACGTATGAACGTGCGAAAGCTTTCATTCTTTCGATCCCTGGGTGTCCCAGATGCAGAGCCTGGAGAACACGTGATTTTCCACACACTGGAATAACTACTCTATTACCCCATAACAAGCAATCTCGATGGGTTGAAAGTTCGTTACGCTTCGAAAAAAAAGTCTGAAATTTTTTATCTGGTCTTTCATTTGGCCATCCTCTCAAAACCCAATTTAGTACTCTTGACAAAATTGGATCACGCAATGTTAATTTTGTTAATTCTGCTGCCTGAAGTGGAGGATCTTGTAAGTCCTCGGTAAACAATACCTCTAAAGGAGCGGGAACCTCAAATTTATCAGTCTCTTTTGGGAGTCTACTTAAAGAATCTGCGTTTTGAATCTTCTTCCCCGGTATATGAATTAGAGTATACTCATATGCATTAAGTATTAAAGACCATCTCAGCATACGCGGAGACAAAATTTCTTTAGTTGGCTTATTTTTTGAAAAAATTCCTATCAGAGACTGATGATCAGTTATAATAGTGAATTTATGTCTATAAACAAAATGATGAAATTTTTTTATACCGAACACAATTGCCAAAGCCTCTTTGTCGATTTGCGCGTAATTTCTTTCTGTCGACGCGAGCGTACGCGATGCGAAAGCTATTGGTGCTTCGCAACCATTTTCAAGAACATGACTTAAGACAGGTCCTACGCCAAACGGAGATGCATCGCAAACTAAAGTTATCTGCAATTTTTCATCGAACGGAACCAAAATCGCTTCGGAACTTAACAATTCTTATAAATATCGAAAAGCTTCATCGTGGACTTTAGACCATTTCCACACTGAATCCCTATCTAGAAGCCCATGTTATACTTCAGCTTTAGTAGCTTTGCCCTTTAGAAAACTATTGTAAAAGTTTATCAAACCCAAAAACGCTTGTAACTGAACTTTATTTTTAGGTACCGGAAAAGCACGAATCGCTTCTACTTTACTTTTGGCGGGGTGGATGCCCTTCGCATCGATACGGTAGCCCAAAAAATCTACTTCCTTTACCCCAAATAAGCATTTGTTCCCGTTTGATTTAAGTCCCGCTTTTCTCAAACGATCTAGTACTTGTTCCAAACGAGCGGCTAACTCTTCTTCCGAACTTCCTCTAACGAGTACATCATCAAAATATGGAACAACCCCTTCTAAATTTCGAAACAAATCTTCGATTAAATTTTGAAATATTCCTGGGGCTACGTTAATTCCGAATTGGAAGTCTTTTTACCTTATACGCACCCTTATGCGCGATGATAGTCTGAGCTTCAGCAGAAGCATCATCAACCGGTAATTGTAAATATGCTTGATCTAAATCTATCTTAGCATAATAACCTCCTCCTTTAAGATTAGAAAGAAGATGATTTACTGCGGGAATTGGATAAGGATGTGCGTTCATTGCTTTGTTTAACGTGATTTTATAATCACCACACAAACGTACTTCACCTAACGGTTTAATCACTGGAACAACCGGTGTTGACCATTTTGGATTTGAAATTTCCTCAATTACTCCTTCACTTTGAAGTTTTGCTAGGGCGGCTTCAATTTTGGGCCTCATTGCCAAAGGCACGCTTCTTGCCCTACATCTAACAGGCGCCATATCCGAATTTATAGGAAGCGATACTGGATTACCCGTATACGTACCCAATTTGTTATCAAAAATATCATCGTAATTTTTAAGAACTTTTTCGATAATTCCAGTTCTAATTTCGTTTACTCCTGTTATTGAAATTCCTAAAGGTTCAAACTAAGAATACCCCAAAATATTCGTACAGGGATTATTTGAAATTAACAATTCTAACTTAGATTTGAAAAGGTTATGCACAACTTTAACCTTACATACGCCAGCCAGTGAAATCCCATTTTTAGAAAAGTCGCGCAGTTTAATTAAAGTTTTTTCGATCGCGGGTTTCTTAGAACGGAAAACTTTATTCAACGTTTGCAAAGAAATAATCGAATTATATAAACCCGAATCAATTTCCATTTCTAATTTTTCCTTATCAACCTCAACAATAACGTTTTTCTTAAACGGAGATTGAGAACTTAAAACATTCAAATATTTCGGTTGAACTTCAATTTCATTTCCACGCTGTTTTTCAAATTTATTTTTCTTCCGACAAACTTTTACAATGTGACCCTTAAGACCACAAGAATGGCATATTGCATTTTTGAATTTACACATTGAACGTTCATGCTAACCACCGCAACCGAAACACACTTTAGAATTTTGAATTTGCGATTTGCTACTACCTGAAACATTAGAATTTCGTTTACTAAATCGCGCATTATTTCTTTTGTTCCTACCACGTACATAGTCAACTACATCCGAATTCTCAGAATAAGAAGAATTTTGGGTATGAATATGCTTTGATAGGGAAGCCGCAACCTCAGATGCTACAGCAACAGAAATGGCATTTTCAAGAGTTAATTTGGATTCAGCCAACAATCTTCTTTGAACCTCTTCATCACGAATACCGCAGACTAATTGATCTCGTAAACGTTCTGACAAAGTTTCTCCGAAATTACAATCTTCCGCCAGCTTTCTTAACTCAGTAACGAAAGCATTCACAGATTCTAACTTTGATTGAAATCTTTTATGAAACTTGAAACGTCGAAATATTTCTGAAGATTTAGGACAAAAATGTTCTTTTAAAAGTTTAATTAATTCTTGAAATTTAAATTCTGTAACTTCCTTTGGCGAAACTAAAGTCCGAATTATAGACAAAGTTTTAATTCCACAAACAGCTAAAAGAGTCGCACGCTTTTTACTACCATCTACGATAGAATTAGCCTCCAAAAAGTAAGTAATTTGAACAGCATATAACTCGAATGAATTTGGATTTGAAGTGTCAAATTCCTGAATAGAGCCTACCGTCGCCATCTTAGTGCGAAATTTAACCCTCCTGGCGGCGGACCCGTAATAACTCGGGCATCATTTCTACACGCAAAGCGGCAAGCCCGGAATAACTCGGGTTGCCTATCTGCCTCTCTAGCGGCGCTCCCGAGTTTTTCGCTGGTATTTTTTTTCCTTCCCCTACGACCGCCGACTGGGTACTAATTGAGGGGTGGGGATAGCTGTTATCATAAATCACTATAACAGAGGAGTTGTGAGTTTATTTTAGAGTTCATAGTACATTAGTAGTTAAAAGGTACTGATAAGAAAAGGTTTTGGTGAAGTGGAAAAATTAATTTAAAGTTTTATTTTATTTATTTATTTAAATTTTTTTTTCTTTTGCTAATACCGAATCAAACATTTCGTTGCTTTCCTTGCTGTTTAATTTTTATTATTATTATTTTTTTTAAATTGAAGTTCTTCGTGGTAAAATTAGAAAAATGGGGGGGGGATATATTATCGCAAATTACTTTTAAATTTTTTAATATTTGATTATTTTGAATAAATTTTTGAATATCTCTATTAATAATGTTCTGCAGTTTCGTTATAAGTACTGTAAATTCGATATTTTGATAATATTCATTAACTGAATTTTATTTTGTGAACTTAATTGGAAGAGATTTTAACTTAGTTTAGATTTTGACTTATTTTATTTCTTTCCANCTGCCAGAAAGTACACCTTACTTATTTTTCAAGTTCACTAATTTTGAAATGTTAAAATTTTACTTTGCAAACATTATTTTAATCAGAGTCATTTTTTTTCTTCACATTATTTTACAAATTTTTAAGCAAAGAAGGAAATGAAAAAAAAAAATAATAATAAATAAATAAAAAAAAAGAGAGAATAAATAAAATTCTGTTTTTTTTTCTTGATGTTTTAAGCATTTCCTTTGAATTATCGCGTCTGAAATTTATACAGAAATAAAATCTTGAAAAAACAGAATACGAAAGACAGTTATTGAATTTTTTAAGAAATAACTTGCATATTTAAAACATTTTTTGCAAAATCAAAGATCTTATAACTACAAAGAAACCAACGAGATTAAATATCTTTATAGGCTTAATTTTAATTAAAAGTTTTAAGTTTATATAAAAACCATATAATAATACTTTATATACCATACCATTCAACATATAACAATTTACCATATAACAATTTTTCTCAGCTAAACTCTGATTACTTCCTGTGACAATTTTAATATCAAGTGATACTATCAAGTAATTTATTAATAATGAGAGTAAAATTCTTAAAACTAAATAAGATACTTGTTTTAATGCGTCATAATAAAGGAATTTAACGAATTGCAAATTAGCATGGACTTCGGATAGTTATTCGGATTCGGATTCTTATTATGTAACAAGAAATTGCTTAGTAGTTTTCTTCTTCCTCATAAAGTTATCTATTATTTAATAAACTAATATTGTTTAAAAATGTATCCAAAACTAACTTAATTTTACTACAAAAAACAAGACTAGGTAAAAGAAAGAGCATAAAATAATTTTTATTTTTTAAAAGCTTCTTTTTTCTATCAAAATTTTTTAATAATGCTATTTTTATGTATTTGTTTCAATTTTCTGATTTAATTATAATCAATGCATATTAAGGACAATAATCAAAGGAAAAGGTAACGCAAAGTTAAGTTTTTTGTATTATACAGTTCTTTACTTTTACTTGACCAAAAAAAAGGCCAAACAATCTAATATTTATTGAGTAAGGTGTAAAAAAAAATTTTTCAAAAATTAATAATTGAGAAATTAAAGAAAATTATTTTTACT